AGACAGTTAATCGGTTTTAATAGATCTTTGTTCTTCTGTGGGGTTTTTGTTTTTTTTTTCTTGACAAGGACTTTATACATTTTCACTCAATACTCTCTAGTCTTTCTTAGATATTCTTGCTCTAAAAGAATGTATTTGTTAGAGAAAAGGAAGGACAAAGAAGAAAATGAATGCAGCCAAATGCCTTAGTGACTCATGCAGTGGTTAGTTTTATCACTTCATAAAGGTTGGTTGGCCTTTCTGAGTCTGTTTGTGGAGGGCTAGTCCAGAGCAGCTATTTTAGGACAGTTTCAAGTTCTCACCAATTATTTCCTTACTCAGTATTTATTTTAACTTCAAAATAACTAATAAGTGATGTTATAGAAGAGATACCAATGATTTCTTGAAATATGTTTGGTAGTATTCATTTAAACTTGTAAATTAGAGTTTACTTGGGAAAAATTCTTTAAAATTTGGGAAGTATCATGAGGTGAAAAAATTGACAAAAACTTGACAACGTTCAGGTAACACACTTTCTTAGCTTAAAATATTTTTGAAAATACAAATTTAAAATATTTTCATCAGCTTAAAATTTGCTTTAAAGTTCTTTGTCACCCCCAAACTCCTTCAGTTTTGATTTCTAAAACTAAAGTTCCTTAATCATGAAGTTGAAATGTGTATAGACTTTTTCAGTAGGAGCATGTCTAAGTTCATCCTTACACCTGATTAAAAACACCATTTCCCTTAACCTGTCAACAACTCAGTTGAGCAGTCAGACTGCATTATTCGATATCTTGTCTGACAGGAGGACAGCATTCCAGAGAGAAAGATAACACAAATTGGTGCCACACTTTGATAAATAGAGACATTTTATTTTTCGCCAGGCTAATTCAATCCAGTTCAGTTAACTCTTTTTCCCCCCTTAAGGACAGATCAAAAAAGGCAGCCATGAATGACCGAGTGTGTCATGTGTTTGACACGTCAGTGTGTGAAAATAAAGCCGACCCCAAGGGAGGGGCTGTGCCTTTATACTGCAGACAATGCCCCGCGCGAGAGCCCTCTCGCTCAGCTCTGTGCTGCGCATGGCTGCCAGTCATAATGGGGGTAGCGGGGCCGGCTGTGCACGACACCCTTTCCCCAGCCCGGGGGTGACCTTTGTCATTTCAGCATTCTTAAGAATTCTCAGACATTTTCCGGGCTGTCCCTGAGTCTCACTTTAGTTCCATAGGCTAAAGCTACTGGATATTACATATTGGTAGTTTTGTGATTTTGGTAAAATCTGTGTCCTCAATGTCTGTTTTCGAAAAATCTGTATTACAATAAATCTAATGCCAGCATTTCTGTTTCTCAGTTCAGTACTTTCTTCCTGAGACAGAGAATGATATTTGTACAGTCATACTGTTGTTCACGATATTCATACAGTTGTCGTTATTGTCAATTGTAATGGTATGGATTATGCTACGGGACATGAGTTGTCTAAATAGCATTTATGAAAGAAGATTAAAATTGTCAAAACTTGCCCACTGCTCTAAGGGATCAGGTCCTAAGAGCCCCATCTTTTGCATCAAGAGCCTTCAAGGGCTGCTTCCTCCCCATGGGCCTTGTGTTCTAGTCTCTTCCGTGTACTGCAATGGCGCCGTGTCTCGCAGCCACAGGCCACGCGTCTATCTTCAGAGCCCTTTCTCTCTGCCAAACCTATCCTTCATGTAATTTTAAATCCTCCCTTTTCCTTGACAGGGGCCTTCCTTAGCTAACTGCTGCGATGGGACATTTCGTTTTCCATGTGGTCTAAAAATGAGACTCTTGAGTGCGCTCCCCTCCCTCCACAGGTGCCGCTCTGCCATGTGCCTGCTCAAAAGGATGGGGTGTTTGTGTTCTGAGGAATCCGTGAGTCCTGTCTGTTCGGGGCTTTAGCAGTGTGGCCGGTGCTCCCTCAGCAGATCTGTGTGCAGAGAGCAGGGCTAGGCTGTGTGTCAGAGTTAGGAGGGCAGGGGCTAGAACCAGACACCTCCCCACCTCCCGCTCTTACTGACTGGCCACACTCAAGTTACCGAACCTCTCTGTGACTCGTTCCCTTATCCTGAAAATGAAAAATCACACCTCCCTTATGGGTTATAAAGATTAAATGGGTTAATTTTGGTGAAGTGCTTAGAGGAGTATCTGGCACAGTCTAAGTGCCATGTAAATGTTTATTAAATAAAATAATTCACTGAGCATGTTCTGTTAGTCACTGTGCTGAGTGTTTTTTTCTCTTTAAATTTTTTTATTGTTATGTTAATCACCATACATTACATCATTAGTTTTTGATGTAGTGTTCCATGATTCATTGTTTGTGTATAACACCCAGTGCTCCACGCAGAACATGCCCTCTTTAATACCCATCACCAGGGCACCTGGGTGGCTCAGTTGGTTAAGCGACTGCCTTCGGCTCAGGTCATGATCCCGCAGTCCTGGGATCAAGTCCCACATCAGGCTCCCGGCTCAGCGGGGAGCCTGCTTCTCCCTCTGACCTTCTCCCCTCTCATACTGTTTTTCTCTCTCTCTCTCTCAAATAAATAAATAAAATCTTTAATACCCATCACCAGGCTAACCCATCTCCCCACCCCCCTCCCCTCTAGAACCCTCAGTTTGTTTTTCAGAGTCCATCGTCTCTCAATAGTCCATCTCCCCTTCCAATTTCCCCCCTTCATTCATCCCCTCCTGCTATCTTCTTTTTTTTTTTCTTAACATATATTGCATTATTTGTTCAACAGTCTTGGACAATTCACAGCGCTCACCATAGCACATACCCTCCCCAGTGTCTATCACCCAGCCACCCCATCCCTCCCACCCCACCCCCACTCCAGCAACCCTCAGTTTGTTTCCTGAGATTAAGAATTCCTCATATCAGTGAGGTCATATGATACATGTCTTTCTCTGATTGACTTACTTCACTCAGCATAATACCCTCCAGTTCCATCCACGTCGTTGCAAATGGCAAGATCTCATTCATTTTATGGCTGCATAATATTCCATTGTGTATATATACCCCATCTTCTCTATCCATTCATCTGTCGGTGGACATCTTGGCTCTTTCCACCGTTCGGCTACTGTGGACATTGCTGCTATAAACATCGGGGTACACGTACCCTTTGGATCCCTACATTTGTATCTTTGGGGTAAATACCCAGTGGTGCAATTGCTGGATTGTATGGTTGCGCTGAGTGTTTTACATGTTAACTCATTTCATCTTAACAGTAGTCTCCTATGCAGGGACTATTGCCACCCCCCTTTTACAGATGACACAAAGTTAAGTGACTTGCTCAGGGTCACCCAGCAAGATTAGGGCAGAATCGGGATTTGAATTCACACCCCTTGGCCCCAGGGCCATCAGTCACTTCTCTCCTCTAACCACAGTGTGTACCACAGACCTGAATGGAAATCATGTTGTGTGTGAGAATATCTCCGTTGGATGGAAAGCCATGCGACAGGATGTGTTTCTTGACCTATTAGAAAACAGTGTGCCATGAGGAGATGGCCAGGAGAAGTTAGCCCTCCAGGACTAACCTGACGTTGACCGCCTTGGACTGGAAATTGGGGAGGACAGGGACCACCTGTGTTTAGCAGCCCCTCCCATGACACTCCAGGCCTACGTGTGGCTTGTTGGATTTTATTTTTGTTAATTTCTTTTAAGCCACTCTTTGCTCAGGCTCTTGAGGCTTTGCTGGTACATTGATGCTCGTCTGGAACCATACAGAACACCGTAAAGACAGTGAATGAGAATATGGGTCAGCTGCATCAGCCAGTTGCTGGGGTGTTCATTTGTGGGTATTTAAAATATGTTTTAATCTCTGCCATGTCACCCAGCTCTACTGAAATATACTCAGTTTATCCACAGGAGTTCTAGCTAGAAAAGGTCAGTCATCAGTTCTGGAAGCTCGTACTACGAATCTTAGTCATAACAAATGAAATGTTGGAGGTGTGAGGCCTTCTCTCATGCAAGAAACGCAAGTGTGCCCCATGGGTTTATAGCTTGGGACATGTGCCTGTAGGAATAGAGATTGTCCAGACGTTATAGCCAGTGTTCAGACTTTTTGTGCATGCCATCAAAAGTTGTAAAAGTGAATTTCTTCAAAGGATTCCAATTATTTGGCTGATAAAACACAGATAAAGAAAAAAATGTCTATTTTACAGCTAAGTATTTTTTTGGGGGGGTATAAAAAGATTCCTAGGACAGTAATGCTTTGTAGAGGCTCTAATGTCCAATACTCTTAAGTGCTGGGTAAAAGTTAAACTTGAATAGCAATGATGAAATATTTACTCATCAGATGGCTTTGAAGTTTAGCCACTTTTTGGTTGTAGTCCCTTCCTAATGGACATGTTTCAAAGAAGAAAATGATTATAGCATTCAGCTGTGATGTTCTCTTACTCTCTGCATGGAAGAAATCCATTTTGTTTTGGTCCATTTGGGTATTTAAATTTTGAAGACCACTTAGAAATCACGTTAATGACAGAAATAGTTCATACAACTCTGAACTCATTCTCATTGATAGGATAATGTTTAAAAATTAATTTTTCTAATACCTACATAATCTTTTTAAAAGATTGCTTTAACTCTGGCATTCTACAGTCTTTCCAACTAAAATTTATTGAATTCTCCACAGTTTATATCAGAAGGCCCTCAGGTGAGTGTGTATATAACATGAATAAGTGATAAAATTCAGCTGTATAAACTATCTTGCTGGGTAAAATCGCTTATGTTTAAAGATTTTTAGAAACTATACATTTAGAGGTACAGTTCTTCAGTTCTGATAATAACTGAAAGGTTTTCTTTTAAAGTTTAAAATTGTAGATGCTTGGGAATGTTGAGTCAGTATTGTTTTTCTCCTGCATCCTGGGTTAAGTTTCATTCATCCATGTCATTTAGGACTTCAGAAATTGTTATTGCCGTGTTGGTTAGAAAGGTTCTGTTTTTATGTTTCCTCAACCATGCGGACTGTGCGATATACTTTTAACATTTGTGTTTGTCTTTTGTTCCTTAGTTTTCATATGAATCCGACAAGTAATGAGGACCTCAGGAAAATCCCGGTAAGTTTCAGAGGCGTTAGTGCATTACGGGAAAAGAAGCCACAAGCCGGCCTTCTGGCTGGCATATATTTTTAAAAAGACCTTCATCCTGAATCCCTCAGTTACCTTTGGATTATAGTTTAATGTGGTAATCTGGGGAGAAAGAAGAAAAGCAAAATTCCAGCTTTGTCTTTAATATACGATAGGGTGTGACTTTATGATCTATAGAAATTCAAGCAAATATGGTAGTTCTAATTGAAGCCAATTTAGAATCCACATATTTTGGTTACAGACTGTTTTAAAATTAATGTGAAAGCTCTATGTCAGGGTCAACTTTATAGTTAGGAAATAAGAGCACGTGGAGAAAAATGAACATTTTTTGTTGTTGTTGTGGCAAAAATCGAAGAAAGAATAAAATTGCCTTATTAACATTGAACAATAGGAAAAGCATCCTGGCAAGAGATCTAGCTAACAGGGAGAGGCTTTGAAAGAACCTTTAGGACACTTACCTTCTTAGAACAAAACCAAATATATTAACAGGCTTGGAAGCTACCAGCTGAATTAACTCACAGATTTTGCAAGGACTATTCAGATATCTTAACTTCATTTTATTATTACTTGAAGTCCAGGTTTGACTCTCTGTTCCGAGTTCCACTGCACCTTCAGTCAATTCTAAATGCATCAAACCTAGAGAGTAAGTTACTTTACAAAAGTATGGGTGCATGTTCTTGGTAGAAAACTGAATTCTCACTGAATAACAGAAATAGGGCCTTTATTCCAAGAGACTGGTGGTTGCTGTTTGAACCATCTGTCCTTAATGTGTGTGATCCAGATGTATAATAAGAATTTTTTAAAGCAATAACATACCACAATTTTCTGTGATGTGATATGCCTAGAAGACAGTGTGGTGTGGTGTATAAACCATTCTAAATGTAGTTATTTGTACTTAGAACGGTAGAAAACATTATAGAAGCAGAGGACTTTGTGCTGCGTTTTTGCTGTTTTATGTAAATGATTTATAAGTTTTGATGTTTCATAAATACTCAAGTCTTTAGAATATGGCAGTCTGGTGAGAAATGTCAGAATATATGAAGTCAGCCTTTGATCAGATAGTAAAATGAATTCTATCAGGCGGTTACTTAATCTCAAACAAAATGCAACATCAAAAAATCGATCTAATGTGCAGCCATTGTTTATTAAGTAAACTTAATTACAATTTCTCTGTGCTTGTAAATGTACTTTTCCCAATCTTGTAATTTATTGCCGTAAAAGCATCCTTAGAATTCTTTAAAGAAATAAAATGTGAAAATTGTTTTAGTTAAAGGATTTAAAGGTGATAAAAGAATCCTTGATGTGTGATTATTTTTCTCTGGAATACTAACTATTCTAAATGGCAGCAAAAGGATTACTAGGTGTTGTTAATTTACTGCAGGATACAATTAGGAGGAAGCTCATCCTTCTACCGAGTGTTATTGAGGAAAAGTATTTGAACAATTTTTATGTTGAAGATTATAAGATGTTTGAAGTAATTTACATTAAGTTCTCCGATAATAGCCATCCACCAAGTTATTTCTTTCCCCTTCTGGACATAGTATTTTGTAATTAAGTTTGTGTGTCTTACATGCTATTGCCAACACCTGTCTGTGAAAGCTCAGTGTTTAAACAGGAGGAGTAGCCAGTTGAAAGGGCAGTGCGAGCTCTTTAAGGCCTAATTAAGAACTGAAAGGGAGATGAAGGCAGTAGGACAAAAGATGTGAAAGTAGCTGAGATGATATTCCCAGAGCAAAGTTCCTCATTAGAACAATAATGAGATGATCAGAGAATGCCAAGCCTTCATCTTCTCTCTCTCTCTCTCCTCTAGCTGCCTTGGATGTCAGTTAGTGCCCCACCAATATTTGGTTACCAGGACAACCTTTCTTTAAATCTCCAGTTATTTTGAGTCCTGATAATTTGCTTTTGTTGAAATTTAAATATTGCAAAAAATACACATTTCCTCGTTTAAAAGTCTAGGCTATGTGTGAAGTAAAAATAGATCACTAGTAATTCTCCAAAGCCTTTTGTACAACTCTGTTATTTAAAATTGCAATTGGAAAACTTCTTGTGATAATTCTGCTGATCTCTCACCCACTCCCTATTTTCTGATATCTGCATATGGAAATTTTTAACAGAGGTTGGGTCGGAGTGACAAAGGATCGGTTGTGAAAGGGGAAGGGAGAAGACAAATTTACATTAAATTTCAATATAAGAAGACATCTTAAAAACACATGTGCTATCTGTGTGGAGCCAGGGGAGTAAATACCAAGTACTTTCGAGTCCCACTGTAGGTTAGGGGGGCGTCTCTACCAGTTTGGAGGTTTCTCAGTTTTAGAAGTTTTTCCGAGAACAGTATTAGAAGTATCTTTTGGAAAAATAATTGATTTTGTATTTGCCTGAGAGTTTTCCTCTTCAAGCAAAATACTTTTTGTGACCAGAAAATTATTTAATTTCCTATTGTATGGATTAATATTAACCTTTATTATTTTATTGGGAGCTATATCAACAACAGAGGGAGACGTAGATCTATACATATGTATTGAGTATATCAGTCAGTTTGAGAATCTCAGGCCTAAAATTAGAGGGGTTAAATGCTTTTCAAATATGGGATAAAATCTGGAACTAAGCACAAAACTGTTTTTAATTATTTTATATTCTTTTCCAGAATATAGTTTATAGTACATGTGTTTCTAAGATGTTTTCCTGCCTAGAAACTTGATGCAGAAATTTGGGGGAAAATTTTCACATAAAAGGACAAATGGAAAATGTATTGAAAAGGTCAGAAATGTATTTTCAGGAAATCTGTCTGTACATAAGTATTAGATGGTTGTGAGGGGAAAAATAAGCCAAATAATGGCTTTTCTACTCCAGATTATGGCTTTAAAGCATTGACCATTATCCTGGGATGATGATGAATATTTTGAGAGATTAAATCATTAGATTGATTCATATCATGGCATTAATGTAAACTACGTATGTCAGAATAAGAATTTTTCAACATGTCTTTGATCCTCATTGTCTTTAGAGAAATGTTTAAAAAAAAGTTTCAATCACATTATATCTGGTAGTACTGGTGTGGTTAAATATAACAATATAAATGATTTTCTAACTGTATATCATCACTGAAATAGTTTGGAGAGATCAGTTCATATATGTGTAACTTGGTTAAGATTAGAGAGATTCAGATGCTGTTATTATGTTAAACCAAGAAAACATATAAAACAGCCTCAACTAGTCAGTAATGAAACCCATTTAGTTCAATTTCATTAACCCCTGCAATTCGCACAAGAATGCCTATTTTTCAGAATATGCTTTATTAGATAAATGAAATCACATTAGTTGGATGTTACTACTTTTCTAAAATGCAGTTCAGGAAAAAAAATTACTTTGTAGACCAGGAAATTTTAGAGTTGAAAGGAACCGTGGAGAACATCTCATTTATCAGATAAGGGAAGTGAGGCCCAGGCTGGTATCTGTCTCAAATCTATGCAGAATTACTTGGGTTACAGTAAGAAAGTTTAGCTTATTTTTCATAAATTTAAAAAATAAACTTACCTCAATACTGTGTCTTATCTTTTCTGTAGAAATCTGCTTAATATAATAAATGTTTAATAAGATTGTGGTTAGGAAATTTCAAGTTTCATATCTTAAACTGCTCATGACCAATTAAATAAATTAGTAAATACATGAGTGTGTGTGTGTACTCTTCTAATTACAGAAGATTGAGAGAGAGAAGAAAAAGTAAACCACACTTGTCTCCAGGGTTGTGTGGTAAAGCAATATTCTTAAATGTTTCTTAGGGACAAAGGTAATACAACTGCTGAAGTTGTATCTGGTCCCAGTTTCTATTGCTAAAATAAGTTGTTTTAAATACAGTCTTACAGAATTTAAGCTCACTTTCCATTGGCATCCCCTATACTCATTCTGTTAATGTAGTGGAGGCTCTTACTAACTTTAACATTTCAGTAGCCTTACAGAGAATCTCAGCCCCTCCAAATGATCTTACCCACTGCTGCCATTTTAATTTTCCTAGAACTTCACTTCAATCATATCCTGCCCCTGTTTGAGAAACCTTCCGTGGCTTCCTGTCTCCCATCGCAATAATCCAGCGGCCTCGACGGTCTGTCGGAACCTCCCATCTCAGTCTCTCCGTGCCCTGCCCTGAACCTTGTTTTCCGGCACCCGTTCTCCCCTGGTCACCTGCTGTCGAGCCCACTGTGCCTTCAGTCTGGTTTCCTCCTTTACACAAGCAGAGCCCACTGCTTGGGATGTCTGTTATGCATTTCTGCTTGGCAGAGTCTCTGAAGGCCTAGCATGAGCTGTATCTTCTCTATAAAACATGAGCGATTCCATGAGGTTGGAGCAGTTTTCAATCCTGAATTTTTCCCTTTTTCCTTGAGAAGGGAGTGACTTTGGTAACCGAAGCATCGAACTGGTAACTGTACTTCAGGTGTTCCTCTGATTGGCAAAGTCAAGGTACCTTGGGGACGAGGGAATAAAAAGTTACACTTGGGCTTTCGTGGTGAGCTAGACATAGACCAGATTAAAGTAGATCCTGAAAACGAACAAAGACAAATTTAATCCAGTGAATACAAGAGAGAAAAAGGCCTTTTTGCACTCACCCGCCAGTCCCTGTTCTCCATCCTCCATGGAATAGATTAGAGACAGTTAGTCCTTGAGAGCAGGACTGGTTTCCTCGGTGTATTTTTTCCTTACAGCCGAATGGAAATGTTTTGAAAGAAAGTGATAAAAACCAGTTCTAAGCTGTTGAGTTTTAAGGATAGAACTATGTATAAAAAGGCATAAAGGTTGCTCCTTTATATTTGGATGTTACAGTTTATATAATCAATCCAAATATTATACACTGTAGATGATGTTCTAGTGCCGTTTTGATGAAATTTCTGACAAATATTTTTCTTTTCTTATTAGAGTGCTTTGTAATAAAAATGAATTAAATCAGTGTCTTTTTCTGTTTTGTTTATATTGTTTTTGTGTAAAAAAGAATACCAATAGAATAAGGTTAGTAAAATAGTAAGTGAAAGGAGAGAATGCAGATAAACTAATCCTGAGTGTTCTTCACATGATTGTAGTTGAACTCCGAGTTTCCTAATAACCAGGGTAAAAAGGGAAATAAGTTATATAGGGATTAGCACTAGGAGGAGGAGGAAATAGACTGGTTCCTCAGGGGAGAAGCAGCTTCTTTTGCCTCTAAATTAAAACAGAAGTTACCCCCATGGGGCTTCTTCCAAGGCTGCTCATTGATTTAATTCTGGAGGCCTTGAACAGTTCATAGCAAAGTGAAGAAGCACATGGGATAGTGCTGCTTCTTGAAACCATCTTCAATAGAAAGCCAAAGTCATAACATTAAACCACAGTTCATTGGGAGCAGTTCCATGAGGACTAAGCCATTGTCCAAATGTATAGTTTTCGGTAACTTCTTAGAGTTGTCCCAAGTAACTCTTAGAGATCTTTAGTTTTAATCTATTTTAGTTATATCTGTTATAGAACATTTTATCTTTTAGTCCTAAATTATATGGTCCATTTCGTATATTAGGACATTGTCCACAAAGTAAAAAACGGTTCTAGAAGGATTTAGAATCACAATCAAGGCTTTGGTGCATCTGCCCTAGTTCTTGCCTCAGGACTGGCTAGCCGCGGTGTGAACGGTCGTGTTGGTTCTAGCTACACACACAGAAAAAACCTGGTCAGGGTTTGAAAAATCAAAAGTTGAAGTGTTTCAAAATAATTCTGAATTTGCCCGCCATGTTGTCTCCTAAAGTGACCCATCTTTCTCCTGTTCTAGGACAGCAACCCTTTTGATGCCACTGCAGGGTATCGTGGTCTGACCTACGAGGAGGTCCTCCAGGAGCTGGTGAAGCACAAAGAGCTCCTGAGGAGGAAAGATACCCACATCCGGGAACTCGAGGACTACATCGACAACCTCCTTGTGAGGGTCATGGAGGAGACACCCAGTATCCTCAGAGTGCCGTACGAACCGTCCAGGAAGGCTGGCAAATTTGCCAACAGTTAATAAGCCAGTTGTGCCGCATTTATGATTAAGGGCAAAAAGGAAAGAAGAAAGAGAAAAAGAATGAAGAAAATCTTGGTACTGCAAGAAACTGCATTATCAGGCGTCATTATATACTGTTTCCTTGCGAAAAATTATTTTACCTGTAAATATTAACAGGGACCATCAAGAGTGACCTTTGAAGTGAGCTCAATAATTGAAACATTTCAAGTGAAAATGGGCCAGATTCTGAATGAATAAGCAGTTCCTTAGGATTCACTTAGGTGCTGGTGCTGGCCTACTAACCTGCCACAGGCCTAGGGATAGCTGTGAAGTACATGACGTACTGTTCCTCAGGAATGGATCTCATAAAGCAGAATCGATGCTCTGGCTGGTTTCTCAGAAGTCAATTTGTAGACATACTTAGCTGCAGGAATACTGTTCATTATAAACACTAAAAAAAGTTCATATTTTATATGCATATATATGTACATGAATATATGTTCATGTATCTTTGTATATAAAATACATGCATATACCTCATATATACATGTGTTTCTAGAACATTTAAAAACAACTGATTGCCTCTAAAATTAGGATACCAATTTCTTAATTTGAAAATCTATGTGTGCTCTGTCGATGCAAAACAAATCATCATTGCTACCAGTACAGTTAGAGGGAAGCTGCTTCAGATCACTCTTGACTTTGCGAATCTTGGTTTCACAATGAGCTGCTCCTATATATTATTCCAGCATCAGATGTTTGCTCTTTTTCTAAAAGGACTGATTCCAAGGTTTTTTTCTTTTTTTTAGAGCGTGACATATTTTAGGAAAATTTACTAGCGTCACGAGAGTACGAATTTCTTGAGTTAATTTTTTATCTTAACATTTGCGTTTTTAAGTAGGAGAGAAGCTAATGTAGTCTGTTTTGTTGAGATTCTGAATGCCTTTAAATCACTAGCGAAGAAAATATTAGGAGGTCAGATCTGAAAATCATTCCGAGGGGGAAAAAAGTAGGTGATTGTCAGATGCCTGATAACCCAAAGCAATGGGCAAATTCTAGGAATGAAGAATTCGGCTTGGTTTCAAGTTACGTAAATAATAGAACAGATGGTTGCATTTGGGTCTTGAACCAAAATAAGAGTCACTGAAGGAGGAGTGAGTTGTTGGAACAGCGCTTCACTAGCATGGCACTCTAAACACTGTTCTCCATCCACCCTTAAGAATTGGTTTATTGCAAAATTATATGTCAGCTCTTTTAAGTCTGCTCCCCGAAAATATCGATTACTTCCGTGAATTATCTTTATAGATTTGTACAAAATAATCCTGAAATGTAAAGTGGAAAACAATGGTATGAAAATATTACTAGTCATCTGCTTATTTTTTCCCTTAAAAATCTGAAATACTTACCATGAAACACTGAATCTGTGTTTCTGGTTTTAAAAGAAAAAATTTACCTGTGTATGGAGACCTATATTCTCCAGGCTTTTAATGAACTGCGTTTTTGTCTAATGTTTATCTCCACAAAGACTTTATTGAAAATTCAGTACAAAGCAGATAGAATAGTTTTGCTCATTTTAATATTCTGAATCAGATAATACTTGGCCAACTGTATATTTGTGGGCTAAAATTGCTCATTTGTATTTTCTGAGTTACCTTAGTTTTCCTATGAGAGCATATATATGTTTTGAAATTCTGGGAACTTTTCCTAAATACAAAAAATTAAATAATTTTTTTAAATGAAGAAATGGAGAAGGAAAAATAGCTTTTACCAACTTTTTTTCCCCACTTATAAATTTCTGTTCTAAACCTCGAAATCTGGTTTAGAATTCTGTTTTCTCATTTGAGGTCTTAGTAATTATTATTTTTTTAACACGGTGACATTTTTAGTTAGCGTTTTATTAGATATAAAATTCTTAGCATTTTTTTTCTGTTAGTATAAATGAAGCTCTTCTTATACTTCTTAAAATACTAAAATCCCTGAGTTTTCAGTATTACGGATTATCTGCAGATATTTTAATATGCTTTCGCCAAATTTATTCCTTATAAAATGAACCAAGATGTCAGTTTTGTATTGGGGATTTGTTTTATGTAAATAGAATTCATTAAAAAATATTGTTCCAATACTACTATTCTTTTTATGAGGAAATTCATTTCTAAGGAGGGGTTCTCTGCCAGGATGGAACTGTTAAGGATTAGCCTTATCAGATGTGAATGATTTGGTTATAACTGAATCAATATTTTTATCTTTCAACGTGAGACAAGAATTGTGCTGAAAACGGAATCTGCACTTGTCACTGCCTGAAAATGTTCTGTCCCAATGTTTATGAACTTCTGTTCGGGACCTAGAGTCAAACTTATTATAAGTTTTCATAATTTGGTCAACATAAAACACTAAAATCTAAAATCAAAAAGTAAAAATGAATTCCCGAGCAAACGTCAGTGTTTCCTGTGTTTGGGCAGAAGTGTGAACAGAGTAGTTTTAGTTTCTAGCATTGTAGGGAAAAAAAGGCCAAAAAAGATCACCTTCGTTTAATTCCTCCAAAATGTAACTTTTAAGTATTCTAAGGGTATATTTTGTTAAGTAGTTTAGACATAGAAATAAAAGACATGCACTCATTCAGTAATGCACAGCACAGTAGACTTATAGACAGATTTTATTTTTAGGCTTAAACAATGCATGCTGAAGAATGTTCCCACCCTAAGAGAATTTTTTTAAATCACAGCATCAATATTTATCCTAAACCTATCTTAAGCTAACATACTTCTGTTACTGACTAAAGTATTTCTGCTGTTATTTTCAAAACAGTATTGTTTTCCAACCGGTTCCCCTTCCATTTCTAAAATTCGGCTTTGAAAGTATTGAACCTACTGTCCTACCACTTAAGCTTCAAATTGCATTTACCGAATCCCAGGGTTATAGCTTAGAATTGTATATAAAGTGACGTGTCACCCATTCATGAAAAACGTTCAAGTATTGCTTTTTGCTGCTGTATTGTGCATTGAATCTAGTTTTGCCACCCTCCCATGAATGTAGTATTATCCATAGATTATGCATAACTACATCTCTTGCTTTTGGCAGTAAATGAAGATTTTGTTGTAATTTTCCAGCTGTGAAAATGTTGCCTTGTATTTAAAAGGATTTCATGAATGGAAACCTAAGTAAAACTCAGCTCATTAGTGACAGACTTGCTTTCCTCACATCCTTCCTTCACCTACTTCTCCATCCTCACACCCCCCTCCCCCCACCTCCTACCCCCATAAGGGTGCTTATTCTTTAGCAAGGAGAATCTTAAAACAAAAACAAAGAACTGCTGTCTATAATGTATCTAGTAATTGTTACACTAGAGCTTTTATTTTCCTCTGTAGCTTTTTAGGAGAAGCGACCTACTTTGGATTTGAAATTCAAGCTGAAACTTTTTGATGTCCATGTACTCATATGTCTTATAGATACGGTAGGTGTCTGTGTGTGTGTGTGTGTGTGTGTAAGTGAAGTATAAAGCATGCTCATTCACTCGATCTCTTTGAAGTAAGAGGTAAAGGACCGCAGCGCTGCTGTTTCATGGAGATGTAAGGGTCTGTCAGCACACATCGAAAGCCCCCATTTTCACAGATTTATAACTTTAATAATCCAGATGCAATCATTGGAAGTATTTAATATGCAATAGGTAGCACCTTAACTAATTAATCTGCATATGAAGGGTTTTCTGATGTATTTAATAAGTGTAGAAGCTTTCAAGCATTAAACTAGAGTTGACGTTTTATTTCATTTATTTTCTTGTGTCGAAAATTTCCACTCTTACAATGGAATTGAGGTCTGTAAAAAATGATACATTGGACCTATTAATCTTTGAAACTTCCAGGTGGTTTGTATTTTGAGGTACAAAAAAAATGCTGCAGATCTAGAAGTGTATATATTTAGTAGGTACTTGAAAGATATAAGCATTATTTATAACTGAAGAGTATTACGTCCCGTTAAGTAAAATGCTCTGGTAACTTGTATACCTTTTTGCAGGTACAAACCCAAAAGTCTGTAAGCACTGCAGAATGTGACAGTTGTATAATTTATGTAATCTGATGCATGAATCAGAATTTTTATATAATATATAATTATCGATTTATTATAGTTGATTAAAGTGTTCAATCTTGATTCAGTTGTCGTAATTTCTTATTGCAGGTAAAACTGTACAGTGCACGCATTTCTACATGAGTCCTGCTTATCTTTGAAAAATACTCAGGATGCCTCTTATTTGGTGTATCACAGCAAGCGTATTGTAAGACCTACAAACTCACTTCACTGGGGGAAAGTAGTTTTGAAAAGTCGTTCAGAGAGTGGTTTTCAAGCCCCCGAGACTGGACATTCTTCAACAGAGGTGTGAAGGCCCTCCCTCAGAGGGCTGGAGCTTATGGTTTGGGTAGAAAATGACATTTGAGTATCTAGATGGAGGCTAAGGCCAAGCCTGAATGCTTTCCATTTATGCATTATTTCATTTATCCCTTGCAACAACCCTGTAAGGTAAGGACCATTTAGGGGTTCAGAGGAAATGTAAGACGACAAATGAAAAATCTATTTGTGAAACTCAAGAATAGAGTTGGCAAACCCATAGCATTTCTTACCACTTCTCATTGTCCAGCTCATGCAGAAGTGACCTTCCCACTGTCTCCGCCCAGCAGTCCAAGGGTGCGCCTGTCCATCCTCTGCTGGCTGCAGGAGGCAGGCATGGAAGGGCCCAGTCGCATGGCAGTGTGGCTGTGTATATGGATGGCAGTCTCTCAGGCAGCTGTATTACTCCAGACTGGGAGATGTGATCCATATGTAGTAGTTTTGGGGACATAAATCACACACACTTGGAGCAAGGGATTTCTCTGCAGGCCAGAACGTCTTCCTGTTTTGAATTGCTATCAGTTTTGGGGGGCCCGTTTAACACATCCCTGCACTTCCCCCACTATATCTCTAGATTGTTCCCCTTTCTGCCTATCCCCAGGTTTAAGTTTCCTTAGTCTACTGAGACAAAGATATTTGGGGGAATTTGAGAATAGGGACATATTATTAAAGTGGCCTTTTTCCCCAAAGGATTTGTTGTAATGCAATGCCTGTCAGAAATGTTTCTGTTCAGGTTTTCAAGGTAATGGCCTTGTGACGTGGATGCCTCGCATTCTACATTTTTCCCCCAAATAATTTTACATGATAACACAAATGTCACGCTTTCATATTTTTACTTAGAAGCAACATTTTTAGAAACCTATAATTACATGAACTAGAAATGCTTGATTCTATTATTTTGCTCCTCACACCCTAAAATTTGTTAAATGTTCAACTGTTTCATCATTTGGTAGGCATACCCAAAAGCCAGAATTGATGCTGGGAAGCACAGAATCAAATTTCTGTATCAGAGGTTTTCAATGATAGTGTGTTGTGGCCAAATGGACGCTGTGGTCCAGTTTGTTACTAACATTAGTACCAAAGTTTGCAAACAATTTATTTTTTTTCTAATGAATTAGAACAGAGTAAAGATTTCACCATTAGAACGTTACTTGCATCCTGTTAGGCTCTGGCAAGGGAGAGGGGAGTGTAGGAGACCAAGCCTTCAGGTCCTTTGCAGTTCCCAGCCAACTTCCTTATTTGTGCAACAGCCTTCGTGCAGGGATTGCAAACTCCAGAGTGAACAGAGCCAGGTAAGTATGATGGGTAACCAGGCAGACCAGGCTTAGCAGAGTAGCAATTACGGGGAGGCCAGGGCCATCTGGAGAGCCCAGTTCTTCCTCTAACAGGGGACAG